TGGGGGGGGGGGGGTAGTATTCGACAGTCTACTTTTCAGCATTATGTCAATGATAGGTAACTTTGAGGATCATTTTTCATGGATTCACAGAATGACGCTTTGATACATTCACCCGTGCCAGGGTGGTAAGTTTCTTTGAGTGACCGCACCGTAAGCGTTTTTCTAACACAGATCATGATGTGATACCCAAAGCATCCGGTTCATCGGTAACCATTGTCTCATGCTCTACTCTATACCCTCAGGCGGGGTCATCAATTTCAGTGTGCCCTGAAGCTAATTCTAATCGGTGGTGGAGGTGCATCCGTTATTCGCTTAATTTACGTCTACGCATCAACTACCCAGTTCTTCAGTGCACAGAAAAAAATATGATGCGGGATTTTTTACTCCTTTTCTGCGAGGCAATGCTAATCAGACTACATAACCCATTTTTCTGTGTCGAAAGGACTCTCCGTTTACCATAAACTTGGTCCAATTTTGATACGTTCTCCTCTTGTGCATCTCTCCGCTGCAGTTATCCACATATTTCTCAAAACACAGGGACCGTGATACATTATACTAAAGTAATTCATTTGGTTTCTCGAACCTTCAATTAGTCTGTTTTCAAGAAAAGATATATATATACAACGGAACCCTGAAATCCTGTTAAGCAAACCTGCCAACTGGCATTGTGGTTATGGATCGTGCCGATTACGTATCCAAACCGCTACCACTTCTATTCGGTAAAACAAAGTTTACCTGCGATGTAATTCAAAAGGATCAAACGGGGAAAGCTGAAAAGCAAATTACCGTTACATTGAAACGACTCAGAGATCAAGGCTACATGTCATTCTGTCTGTTTGAAGACCTCAAACCCGTTGGCTCTAACGTGCCCCGCCTATATGGTCTACCCAAAATACAAAAACCTGGCATACCAATGCGTCCCATTATCTCTATGACAAATTCACCTCAGCACGCAGCTGCCCGAATTTTGGAACCCATACGTCAGCGTGTCGCCAAGCGTACCCTTAGAGATACTTTTCGGTTTGTTGAAATAACCAAAAATGTGAATATTAACAACCGACTGATGTTCTCTTTGGATGTTGTTTCTCTCTTTACAAATATTCCGTTGTTAGAAGCGGTTGATTTCATTTGTGAATTTATAAACACAGAAACAATACCCATGGGGATTCCTGTCACAGCTATCAAAGAACTCATACTTAAATGCACACGAAATGTACAATTTTTGTTTAATAACACTTTCTACCGCCAGGTCGATGGTGCTGCTATAGGTTCACCCCTCAGACCTGTTCCCGCCGACATCTTCATGTCCAAGTTAGAGACAACTTCCTTATCTACGGCTGTTAGTTCTTTTGAACAATGCCACCGTTGTGTATGATATCTTTTGTGTGGCTAACAAGAACACTACTCTTGCCCAAGTCGAGTCAGAATTCAACAATGCACATTCGTCAATTAAGTTCACAACTGAACCAGAGGAGAACAATTGCCTTCTGTTTTTGGATGTTCATCTAACTAGACACCCCGACGGCTCTATCCAGAGAAAGATATATCGCTAAGCAACATGAAGTGGACAGTACACAAATTTTCATACCTTCGTCCCACTCTATCAAAAACGAAACCTCATACGCAGTCTACTGCAGAGAGCAAGGCGCATCTGTTCAGAAGATACTTTGAAGGACGAACTTGAATTAGTGAGGAGAACCTTACTAGAAAATGGCTATCCGGAGAAGTTTATCGACCGTAATTGGATTGAACAGAATAAGCCAACGAAATTGCCAGAAGCGGAAAAGAAAACGCTATTTATAAAACTTCCATTCAAAGATGATGCCGCCACTGAGAGGGTCAGTAGAGTTTTATCCTCAGCAGTAAAATCTGCATTCAACACCGCGCAGCTAAGATGTGTGTTCTCTACGTCGCCAAACATCCGATGCTACAACAAAGATAAACTGCCTATATTGACCTCATCTATGATTGTCTACCAATTCAAGTGCACCTGTGGTGCGACTTACGTAGGTCGAACGACAACGGATCAAAGAACACAATCCACGCTGGCTCACACAGGGTGGGAGTGGAGCTGTGCCAAGCTCGATGTTTGTTCATCTGGTAGAGACGGGACACTTGGTTGGCATGCGCTCAGCATTTACAATCATCTATCGAGTCTCACCACACCCCTCGAGAGCAATACGGTTTCGGACTTTAGCAACCGCAGAGGCAATTAGCATCCGACTCATGAAGCCTGAGCTGTGCGCACAACGCAAACTGATTCAAGCTCTCAAACTCCCCTGGCCAGGAAAAGGGAAAATCGCTTGTTCACACGACCATGACATAACCACTTTGGTTATGTGATCCAAACTGCGCACAAATTTTGAGTTCTCTCATTGCCAAACACATGACTCATCCACCTTTCTGTTTGACCGTATTGTAATTGTTTCATATAAATGTGATTGTAAAGGCTTGAAAAGGAATTCACCGAAAACATGTTCGCCTACACTGTGTTGTTAATCAGTGGGCATATTCCGTGATTTGATATATACATATATATATATATATATATATATATATATAAAATACGCTGAAAGAATGGGCTATTTTCTCAAATCGAGCAGTAGATAGCGAGCGATGTGACCAAACATGGGGACCGTGAAAACTATAACCGATGAAATAAGAGGGGCATATCATGTGGATGGGGACGCTTTCAAAATTGGCTACAAACCCACCATAACATTATCGAAAAGGTAATATTGCAACAGAAGAAGTAATGGCGTCAGAACAATGCATTTTTTCATTTCATACCCGACATCTCAAGGCATTGTATACTCCTTTGGAGTATGTTTCACGGAGGAGGATTTTTATTAATTCTAGCCAAAGCATTTGACTCATTAGGAGGTAGTTGGGCCTTTAAAGTCCCTGTTTGTGAGCTTCTTTACTTCAGTCGTATAGAATGTTTTGATTACACTTACGTTACGTTCCCTGGTGCTTCGGCTTTCAATTCACTGTTCATCATTCTCCCTCGTTCTTATGCATCTAATGAGATAAGTGGAACATGCAATTTAAAGCACGATGTAGTTTTTTCCCTTTAGTAAAAGTCGGAAGTTAAGGCCGTGCTACATGTGGGGCAGGTTGGCAAGAGGTACTCCAGCATTCATTATTCGTGGTTTAACCTCTTCTCCAACACGACCTTCCGCTGGGATCACGCTCCCGAGTTACTTGAAGATATTGACCATCTCAAGCGGATCACCAGACAAAGAGAATGCAGGCACCAGTGTTGTAAAAACACTTTTCACTCGAATGGTGGGAAGCACATATCATATCTAGATACCTCACTCACCAAGTGGTTTAAAGCAAGCTGGACCGGTTGTATTTTGTCGCCGAGCAAGGCGAGATCATGGGTGTATTCTAGATCGAAACTCAGCCCCTGATAGGAGTTTTTTCTCCACCGTTTGTTAGATCAGATAAAACATGCCGTAGAATATCCTTGACAGCGAAATTGAAAAGGACTTGGGATATAGTTAGCCTTTTTGCACTCCGTCAGAAATGGAAAAGGGTGGATAACGCTGATCATAGACTGTAACTTAATTTTAGGTATGACGANTTCCGTTTCTCAGCGAACAGTGCGATAATGCCCTCGTATCGACTAACCAAGAGATGGGCCATGCATGAGATGACACTGTTTCTGTATAAGGATATACCTGCTGAAAGGATTGTATACTTTGAACGAATTAGGGGATTTAATATAGCGTTCGTAATTTTGGAGTGCAGACTTTGCCCTTGGTCACGTGCCCATAAACTTGCCACAAGCGTCAAAGTAATGTATGCAGATTCCCCTTTCCTTGGTTTATGATTGAATTCGTTTTTCTGCTCTCCAGATTTCTCCGTTTAGTTGTGCATAGTTTGCTCAAATGGAAGCATTCTGAATCACATCCTAATTTCCTAGTGATTTTTTCTTAACAGTATTGTTTTTAGTAGATTTTCCACCCCACTGTGGTCTACCACATTGCCACTTCTATCTTCTGCATTGTTCCCTCACTCCGTTTCTAATAGCCGTGTAGTGCTGAGTAGGAGCACAGAACCAGCGCTTGTAGAGGTTGATCCGGGTGTTTGTGTCCCGCACAATCCCGGCCTGATATCGACCCAACGAGCTGTGACCACACAAAGCCAGCGAGTTCGTGGCAGTGGATACCAGAGCAATTCTACACCCAGCGTCCGGGCTCATGTCGAATCTTTGCTGCAGCGAATCCGTACTCAAGCATCTAGGCCGATCTCAACTGCAGCTACTACTCCTCTGTCGTACAGGTACAACGAAAGCACGTTGTTGCACCCACAGACATTGAAACAGTTGGCTACTATCCCCACAGTTCGTGGTAAACTTCCCCTTCCTCCCCTTAATTTACGGCGTCCGGGAGAAGAGGTCGGATCGAATATTCCATTGTTGTCTGCTTCCCGGACTTTCCAGCCCATGAGATCAATAGTTCTCGGGACAACATATTCAAGTATGGAAATCCCAGGTTCCCGGTTCGATCGTGAGTCGTCACCGACTGAGGAATCACGAATAGCAGCCAAGCAGAGTGCAGCTGTGGCCCATTGCCAGAAGATGGCGAACGCTCTCATTGATACATTTCATTCAGGTCTGGACGTGATGTTGAGCCTACACGGGGAAGCTTTGTTTGGACCACGGCAATTTGATCCACTACCCAAATCTTCGCCTTCACCGGACAGTAATGATCCCAGTAAATTGGGTTGTGCCGTGCTGCCCAATCAGTCTGAACAGCCAAAATGTGTTCCATGGACCCCAGCACTCGCATTTTTCTCAAACACTTCTGTGCTAACAATTAGCCGTTTCGTGTCACGATGTAAGGCTCGTGGGGAGGCAACTAGTGCAGATTTACTGACACTACCCACCTCAGTTACACTGCAGCGTCAAGCGGCATTAGATGACATGGACGTTCGACGGGCACGTTCGTTCCTCGATCGAAGTCGTGTCTATCTAGATGAACAGAATTACGGTCGATTAGTGCTACTGTTACGCAACTTAAACCAGGTTTTCTATCAGCCTAACACGCATTGTGTTGATGTGCCTTCATTATCTCCGGCTGAACGAAGACAGACTGTACTGAACGGACTGGGAAGTGTGCTCGATGTGCTGCGGGGACATCGACCACTGTGGGAAGATTTCGTCTGTTTACTTACACCTCTTCAAGCGAGAACTATGGGACTATTACCGACGTATTTGAATTTGTTACGTGTGAGGCGTGCTCAACGTGTGATACACGATTTGATTCCCCGTGGAAAGCGATTTTGGCGCCGCATACGCAATCTGGCAGACAGTTGTAGTTCAGAGGAACAAAACATCCCAGTTAATCAAACTTTGAAAAATGTACANGAGCTGGATGATTTGACCATGTTTACTTCACAACGAAAGGGAACGCCCGGGACTGGCACACCAGCATCGTCGGATGACACAGCTCGTCAGTCGCATCCAAATCGACAAACTCGAACCCGCTCGAAGGGAGCTCGAGTGCGGTCACCAATTACAAAAACATGGTCATTTCTGGAGAGCACTTGGCGCAATCGACCGGTTCTCTTAACACAGCAAGCATGTCTTCTGAATGTGGACCATAAGCCTTATTCCGGATTTGAACAGGTCAGTCACTTTCTGTTATTCATACAACGAACACATAATCTTTCAGTAGTAAATACGTTGTGTTTTGATCAAACATTTTCATATCCACCTATTTTAATAGTGCTCCGTGTTCGAATGAACTCATTGGAACTTCATTGGCACCACCAGGCATTGCATATACCCTAATTTCGCTATCAGTTTCATTTCTTGCGAATAGAACCCTGGTCAAAGGTCAACACCTTGAACAAATGGCTACAGCAGTTCTCAGGGATGGGTCTACGATGCATTCGTACTGATCAACAGTGCGTACTATTTGTGCATCCCCCGGTAATCGAAAATGATGCCAATCCTACTAGCTGTGAATTCGCATGAAGTGAAGTGGAGTATAAAGGTTCATGAAGCCCTTGATGTGAAGATGTTGCTTGTCTATCTTTTGGCTCAGAGCTCTTGGGTTGGTCGTTTGAGTCCTGCCGGGAATGATAAAACAAAGTAGTACGCGCTCCTAGTATGTCACAACCAAAACAAAACATTTTTGTAGTTGTCTTTGTTGACAAGAAAGAACTTTCCCAAATAGAGCCTATTTATCGCTCAGATAGCAAATTTTTATTCCTCTGGGTCGGTGCAGTTTTTCCTTTCTTCACGGTTTGAAACTATTAAAGCTTAGCCACTTCGTTACTCGCAATTGTGCGTTTCAAAAAATTCGCCGATTACGTAGTTGTTAGCGTCTGAACCGATTATTGATGCTCATAATATGGCATGTTCTTGATACTTTCGACCTGATGTTTGTTACAAAGTAGCACTTATATTGGTTTCGCGAGGGTTCAACTTCTGTGATTTTCCAGTCTACAGAGATCGCTTCATAATCGGACCGAGAACAAAGTAGTTCAAACTCATAATTGAACTTAATTCAACTTGTCATTCTCTGTACATTGAAGAGTTCGGTTTGAACGATAGAGTTTCCAATGTTTATCCAAGGAATGTTGCTGTGCCATGTTTTTGGATTACTTCTCCAACGATCAGTATGAAAATAACCAGACGAACAGAACTCGCTTCCACAATGTCATGCAATGTTTGTTACAAAACTAATCATTGCGGCCCAGTGACTCAGCAATAATTTTTAACTGTACAAAAGAGGAAGTATGACTAAAACGTCGGCAAATTGCAATTGCTGATCATGAATTATTCACTCTGTGAAGCTTCTACTACTAGCTGCTTTAATTTACTTTGGCTGTTCCTTGTGACAGGATGAGTCCACTTCATAAACATCTCGAACCTCAGCCGTCTAGGTGTGGTGGTTTGAAGCAAAATTCGGAGACATAACTAACCAGTTTTTGTTACAGTGATGGGTCTCGTAGATATTTATTATTATTATTACACACTTTCGTGTGATGAACAGCAGACGGGCTAAACCCCATATTCACGAGGACCTGCTGTTTTGTGATGGAAACCGGTTACCTAAGCCCCGGGACTTNCGGGACTTGGAGTGGTGAACCACATGAGGCCCCGATGGGTTAAGCGTGCTATTGAACCGGACGATAGCAAGGCTGCCTACCATCAAAGTTTTGGAATTCCGTATTCTCCATGTTGCACTGGCCGATTTCTAATCAGGTTTTTAGGCTGTCCACCTCTCTGATATTGCCTGAAAGAACCCGGGTGGGACTCAAGGCTAATTTAACCAGATAGTTGTTTGTTTTTGGAGGCATGTAGCTAGATCACAGGCGGGGGCACTGCTGAACGAATGTTGTGGCATCGACAACGTAATTCGTCTTCTTAGAAAAGTGCTTAAGAAGACAATTCATGGGAACTATGGTGTGCGAACATTGTCTGGTGTAAAACCTCAAATGGACCCAAATGGACTCAAATGGCCATATAAATGCGCATTAATTTTTATTTATTTCCAGGATTTTGAAGAGATTGATACGTTGGCGCGGAATCCCCTGAATGACGAATCTAATTTGTCTGCATTAGATGAAGGCTGGGAGGTGTGCACAAAACTGTCTGCCGCCGCGGCTCGTCGACGACGATCGGGCGGAGGTGCCGGTGTCAGTCTATCCGGCTCATCACATTCACGTCATTGTCCATGCCCTTGTCATCCATTGGCCTCATCTACGGCTACCAATCAAACTGGAAAGCCCGTCAAAGCAGACAGTCTAGGCTTGCGTCATTGTATCTCGTGCAGTCTGCGGGTAAGTAGATGAGTTACAAATCTTGCACTTCATGCTGTGTCAAATTTCTACGGTTTCTGTTTAGGTGCAATAATTCTTTTTCAAGCATAGCATTATACAAAGGTACAAATGTCAGCCGCACTTGCCAAACATATCTACTGGCCTACTAGTCCTCTAACTGCACCGGGAGCAGCAAATCGAGGCCCGATGAGGTCGCGATTTCATCGATCAAATGTTCACTTTGCACCAAGTGCTCGATGTAGGTCACACTTTTCGTGATTTTTCCCGATCTAAGGACAGTATTTGATTCGGTAGACAGCAATGCTGTCTGATCTAGACGACATAGTGCTACTAAGTAAAGATCCACCCTAGTAGTACCAGTCCATCAAACCCCAATGCATATGCATTGCGAGTTTGGCAGCGATCGGTGAAGTTCGCTTCCCTGTATTTCGCTGTGCGATGATGATGATGATGACTCAAGCAGTCACAAAGTCTCCGGGGTTATCCATTGCAAAACATCTCATGACAGCTCAACACAATTGATCCCGCTTCCTCCTTTGAACCGTTGTTACTTTACTGCATTGCAAAATTGTTGGCAATTGTTGACGCAATCAGTTCACTTGTCGTGGAGTGGACATCCTGGTTTTACTCCTAATAGCCCGTCTGTCTGTAAACGCCCGTTCACTAGCATTTACAAATCCTACGTGTTGAGATTGTAAAAAGTTCAGTAGCCTCGGTGAGATTCAAACCCACCTATGGACGCCACCTACGCTTCCGTACAGCGCACGCTCTACCAGCTGAGCTACGAGGCCACACTGATGGCGCTGGTCTTTTCGCATTCAAATCACTCATCCATCTTACAGAGGCATATGGCATCCACCAGCTACTATATAAGCTGACTTAGAATTCACCGGAGTCCACCGAATGAACTTCTAAGGGTAGGTTGATTGTTCACATTGCTTTTTGGCAGATTGAAGACTGTAAGTTGGATGGGTGATACAAATGTGAAAAGATCAGTGCTGTCGATGTGGCCTCGTAGCTCAGCTGGTACAGCGTGCGCTCTACGGAAGCTTAGGTGGATTCCATGCATGGGTTCGAATCCTACCGAGGCTTCTGATTTTTTTACAGCCTCAACGTAAGACTTCAATCTGCCAAACAGAACTTTGAAAAATCCAATGTGCTATAAATGTGCTTGTTTGTTTTACGTCAGCAATGGGGAAGAATTAACGAAATGTGACCCTCTCGCAACATGTCTTCTTTCGGTCTTGTTGCGATGGACAAAATGGATCCAGTGATAATGGATTATTTTTATCAATATTATTTTCCATTTTCCGAAGTCTTTTCTACCGATTCTCCCCTCTTGCTACACTTAGGTGCATCGAGGTATTGTCTATGTGGACGAATGCAACTTCCACCTTCGTCACGTTGAAATCACTTGGCCACCGGACTTTCAGCCTAAAACACGCTTGATGCGTGCTAGTGAGTCGAGCAGGGATCACACAGAACTTCCACGTTCTTCCACCGTTAATACAACATCATCTACCACAGTAACCGGAAGCAGTTTGTCCACTCGGGCAATGATTGCACACTTGGCTGAATTACACTCGAAATCTGAATACTCGGATGAAGGGACAAACGTCCCGCATTTAGATTTCGCCAGACGACGAGTTTCAATTGAGTTCCTACTTCCATCTGCTCCTACCAGTTGTCTCTCAGTCACAAATAAAGGTGGTGTGATGTCAAAAGTGGGAACTAATTTTCCTCCGTTCAGTCAATGTGATGTTCTCCGTCCGGACAAGAGTGAAGATAAGGTTATCATCGACGACGACGACGACGACGAGGTCTCTATCATCTCCCCTCCACCGGATCCTGCCTCTCCCACAGATGGAGCCGCGTCACTCGGGGCTGGTTCTGACGTTGGCCATTTTCGCTCAATGCCATCCCCGTCCACATGGATGGTAGACGATGATGATGCGGCCTGTTTCAACACTGAAGCATTTTCTACGAAGACTTCTCAGTCCTTCACCCCGACTGAATCGGATAAACTGAATACCGAAAGCACACCTTCCACGGCCGTAGACACAGTACCATGGGATGTGGAAGAAGACCGTCAATTACTTGAATTCAGTAAAGCCCGTGGCCGCTACAGTTCATCCATGTTTTGTGATTTAGCCGAATGCTGGATCCCAAAACCATGTCCGGATGGGCCTCGTCGCACATCTGCCGAACTGGAAAGACGATTTAAACAGCTGATGAGACTTATGCTTGGCGATGCTTACGATTCAGATTTGTTCGATAGCCCAGAGCAAATTAGCTCCGAGGACGATGTAGCCTGATTTTGTGTTTCAATTTCCCGCCGAGAGTTGGGCTCTCGAACATGTCATCAAATACCACGTGATTAATAACTACTCCAAACCGTACTTCGTACTGCGTGTTGCCTCTGTTTAACCCTGGCTTCATGAATCCCTTGTATTTGCATGTACATAGTAGTGTTATAATTTTCTTCCTTATCCTAGATGCACTGTGTACTTGCTATTTTGTACAGTTTATCTGTGCGCGTGCACGCATTCATTCACATTTACCTTTTCAGCTGTCTTCTTTTTCTTTTATAATAAGGAAATAAATTATCACTTCGCATAAGCGTATTCTCAATCCTTCATCTGTTTTTGAACAAACGCAACGGGAAATTCTGTATCCTCTCTATCTCTCATTTAAACTCATCGGGATATCCAGTCGTTTCCTGTCATTTCAGTTAGTCTGTTTCTCGTTTCTTTTGTTTCGATTGTTTTACCAACCGGACCGATGTCAAGGATGATCAATCATTTGTGCGATAATGCACCCAATGGATCAGAGCGAGAAACTCAAGTATGGAAGTTCAGCTATTCCATACGCCTATTGAAACAGACAGGCAGCTTCTCGGTTATAGTGAGTCTTTTAGATGTGAACACGTAGTTTGAGGGTATCGTTTACTCATTAGGAGGTTTATGATAGACTGAAACTTGATAAGCGGAGCCTCACGTGTACAAAAAAGGTGTGTTGCAAAACAAGGAAGTAGAGAACGATCGCTGTGAGTAGACCAATGTTAGATTGGATAGTTAACGAATTGGTGTGTTTGTAAGAGTGAGGGAATCATTGGGTACGACAGACGAAAATTGTTGGCTGGGGAGGTAAAAATGAGCACAGGAAAGTTCAGTTAGTTTGACCGTCACTCTCCGTCTGGTT